TGCAATTACGATCTCATCATAAGAGAAATATAATTTATCCTTAGTTTTGCAATACGGTAGACACAAGAAAGTTAAAGAAATGTATCATTATTATAATGTTGATGATAACAATGATGTGCTCTTGGGGTTAAGGCGCCCATTTCTCAAACATGAAGGTACCAACTACCCATTACTCAACTTGAAACCTGGCCTGACCATGTGACTTTTCCCAAAATATATGTACTATACACAATAATAAGACACCACTGATATACAGTCAAGATAAATATTCTGAAGAAATACCACTTATAAATTAATTTGATTTGAAGTCGCTCTTGACCAAAGTGTTGTTCCTTCTCCGTATGAGAAGAGGTCTCAGCAGTAAGATATTTACAGTTAAAAATGACTGCACAGTTGATGTAGTGGCTTAGATGCCGGTTGCCGTGCGACGTGTTGGGTTCGATTCGCAAACAGAACAGCTTTTTGTGTGGTCCATAAAATTGTTGTTCCAGGTCTGAGTGTGATGTGTATGTGAGGGTAATATTAAAGAAAATACCCGTACCGACCGTAGAAAATATTTGTGTAGAAAAACGTTTAAAAAACATAAAAAAGCTGATGATTCGAACGTGGTACAATATATTGCGCATATTTATAGAAACCCTAAGAGAGAACTCGAACCCTCTCAGCTTCAGTACGTCCGAAACAGATGTTGGGCAACCGGACACCCTATTTGACAATATCTGTATAACGACTATGATCCTATAATTTGGTTTAGAACCTCACTTGTATAAACTATGTGTGTTTCACATAATTTTATGGTGATCTTATTTGTAGGTATTGAATCAGGTCCTAAGTGGTCCTAACGGTTTGTTTCTTCGTGGGTAACCATAGTTCTCTTGTCTCTTTCTATACAAATGACGAAATTCTCGTTAAAAAAAAATACTGATACTTTCATTGCTTGATTGACTACAGGGTGGCTGGGCAACCGGCTGCCGCGCAACAACAACTCTTTATGTGATCCACAAATTGTTGTTCCATGTCTGGGTGACATTTGTTTGAAAAATATGTACCTACATTATAATGATTTAAATTATCTCTTGCTCATTTAAAAAGATATTACTTTATTTTTAATTAGGTACACACGAAAGGAAATACTAATATCCTTTCTAGTTATACAATAGTTTTTAATCATGAAGTTAAGTAATAAGTTTGATATCCAATGAAGTCATGAGTACCTAATATTGTTATCAATAATTTTTTTCTTTATATTTATGAATTTTTCACAATTGTTATTATGACAGAATGTTAATTTTGATTCATGTAAACAATAACTTGTATTTAAGTTCGTGAATGTCGTCAACATCGTGAACCTCCATTATGGGCAATCTATGTAGTTGAGGATCGTAAATTCGAAAATGAGTATCTTACAAATACAATTAGAAACAAAATACACTTTTGCCTAAATTAGCATTATCTGGATTCTTGTGTATCGTGGGTGCGTACAATTTCACAAACACAAGATAGGGAGACTCACGATAATAATTTGTGAATCGTTCAAAGAGTTGTTTCGTGCACAAATCGAAGTTGCCAAACGTTATGTCGCAGCCGATCGTATAACCAACGCGCCAACCATGCAGTATTAATTATCTACTATAATAGTACAGTATATCCGCTATTATTATAAATATTGTCGACTTTATGCCATACGTAATTACCTAGTGTCAACTCTTTACAATAAAAACTCAAGTCCAAATCGTTTGGTACATAAAGTTAAATTGACAGATTAGAAATAAAATTGCAAAATAAGTAACAATATTCTGCTAAATGTTGGTAAGTCATGACTTAATAATAAAAAAGGTATAAACGTACACAAGTATGTAAATTAATCATAGTGAATCAGAAACCACTGATGATAGGTAAAGGAAAACATCGTTCGAAAACCAAAATTTGTTATAACTACTTTGAAATCGTCAATAACTGGTACAGCCGTGATAATTAATCCTCAAGCCTTCTCCATATGAAAAGATGTTTATAGGCTGCTGATGTGTGTGTATTAATAATTATGATTTTTTTTTCAATCAAATTGTTACCTATTAATTATACATAGTTAAGTTGCAGTCAAATGAATCGTCTATTGACTAATCGTGTTCGTTAAGCCCCACGCGGTATAGTTGATCAAATTGAGCTAGTGATTTCCTATTTACGTTGAAAGTATAGTTAACGTTTGTAGATAACGTGTACCTGAGACTATCGCGAGCGAGAAGACGCCGTTGCCCTGCGGTGGACAGTTATAGGTTCATTTTATACATAATTACATCGTATATTATATTATTGTACGCAATTTATAGTACAGTATGACATGCAAGTAACACAATAACACGTCGTTTCCTTCTTCTAGCAAAAATCTATAAATAACATCACTAAGCTACGGGCTACGCAATGCTACAACTGTGTGCTACGGACCTGCTACGTCCTGCTACGAGTGTGCTACGCATGTGCTCAACCAACAGACATGTCAATTATTTGTAAAAATGTCTACTTATTTAATACTTTTAATAGAAAATGTATCTACCATATCCTTGTAGGTATGGGCAATGTAAATGTAGACTATAAATCACATAGGTAACAGGCGTGTGGCTGGTATAACTGGAATGTATTGATTTCATGTAAAGTTTGTTTTAGACAATTCCTTGTAATGAACACCGTAGGTTGGCACAGATTCTGATTAACGCAGGCTGCATGTGCAGTACCGCTGTACAGCAGAGTGAGCGAGACGGACGCATGGCCAGCGGCACGCGAGCGAAGGGGACACCGGCTGCGGCACTGCCGTACGCTTACGTGCCTCGCTGCCGACATCAGGGCAGATCCCCACCGCAGTACATAACTAGACATAACACACACTCTTCACCACTAAGTACCACTGCGATGCACAGGAATGAGGCTCTATTCTATGATCTCTAGAGGACGGCGGCGGTTTCTGTAACGGTATCTAAGAGGCCTAGCCCAGGGATTGGTCTCGAGGGGTCAAGCGTGGCACGATGCGGCGCGCTATGCGGGTCAGAGAGCGCGGGGCGTGCGGCGAGCGACGAGGTGATAGTCACCATGTCTCCGGGCGTGTCAGCGATCACCGGTTACATAAGAGGGCGGAGGCGGCGGAGGGCGCCGGTCGCGTCTCGGTTACCTCTCTGGCCATCGCGGCATGTCCGCCGGAGGCCGCGGGCGGCGCGCGCTCACGCCGCCATCGTTGAGGGCCAAGCCCGGGACTCGCGTCGCGACTCGCGGAGCACTTGAGCGGCGCTGCGCCGCGTGGGCGGCGATCGATGGGGGCCGCACGCATGCGCCGCCGGAGCGAGCCGAACACCGCCGAGCGATGCCGAGCGCGGCCGCGGTGGTGCATCCGCCCTGACCCAGTTGCCGCGCACACTGACCCGTTTCCCTCGCTTCCCTCGCCGCCTCCACTGGAGCGAGTTAGCGATCGCTCGGATGCGACCTGCCCGCCTGCCCGCTTGCCCGCCTGCCCTGATACACTCCACATACGTGCACTGATTGCACTATTTAGATAACATGTTCAGATAACGCTCTATATTTATTGTAGTGCTACACTACTGCATGTTGTAACGAACCGTAAAGTCAAACATTGTTTTCGAAATGCCGCTATTTTATTGACTGAGTTTACTCAGCTATGTACAGCATTGTTAATGTTTGTAAACATTTAACAGTTAACTAGACAGATGGCAAGTTAGTCATTAGGTGCCCTCATTCTTGCAGCCAATCAAATTATCTTCAAGCTTAATTCAATCTCGATCTAGTGCCGGCCCGTGGCCTGCTCTAATTTCTCTGCAAAGTGAATGATATTAAAAATTCTAGGGAGTAGAGCTTTATATTGTTAGCTTGCCCCTTGATAGTATCCAGCATGGAGATCATGAGTCCTGGCCACCAAGCGAGCAATGGGTGACTGTCACGCGACCGGTAATCCGATTAGTTGCGACTAGTCGGAGGAGAGAAATCGTATTAGGGATAAACCCATTTGCGGCCAGAAGCCGTGTTAGTGTCCCGAAGTTCGGCTGCCATGAAATCGTGTCAAAAGTCGAGCATCCGACTAATACAGTTAGCTATAAAACGTGATTCTGTTTCAGTTTTTATTCGATTAAACACATAAGTCTATTGAGCTCAATTTTATAAATAAGTTGGAAAGAAAGATAGGTCGGTTTTTGTACCGACGTTCATCTGGCTCTTTTAACTGGAGCCAGCTGAAAGTAGTAGTACAAGTAGGGGGATTGGCATCACAAATAACAGAACTAGTTATTTAGATTAAGACTCGTTTACATATGATTATATTTTTTTCCTACTAAATAGTTTATACCTATAATAAAGCAGACGTGAAAAAGTGTCCGGCTGAACATTTAATTAGGTACTAAATCTTTTGACGATTTAAATGCCTTAATTGTACGTTTATTATATTATTATCAAAGTCAGCTGACCCGAAAGTTAATTCGTCAGTTAACAAAATTATAAAACAACCAACATTATTTTCCATATTGTGGCCCTACTTGGGTTTCAATTTTTTAATACCTTAAAGTTAGATGTTACATTACGAGTATGTCCTCGTTCTCTGTCGCTCCATAACGTTTGTAGCAATTTGCATCCCGCTCATTTAATGAAATACCTAACTTCAGAGCGGTACTTAAGGGTACAGTAAAATACAAAAAATAAATAAAAAAGGACTTCCTATACTAGTAAGTCGTTAAAAAGGCACAATAAAATTATGAAATTAAAGCCATATTTTTATTTAGTGGCTAACAGCAGCGATGGTCAGCATTTATGTATGTAATAATATTAATCCATAATGTGATTTTGTTTCAGTTATTAAATTAGTTTAAAATTCAATGTCAATTAATAAAATAATTTTAGCAAAACAGTATTTAGTAAAAAAATACTTCAAATTGAAACATGATACATTTCTGAACGAAACTACAAACAAGGTTGTCAGTTGTCAAGAACTAACTGTCAAAAGTCAGCTGCAAGCTGCAATCGGAGATGAGAGCAGTGTCTCGGCCGATTTATTTATTACTTTCTCAAAATAATCATTCCAATATAAATATTTAGAAAGTTATATTGAATGTAAAGTACAGTTTCAGAGCTAATATTATTCGTAATGTGCCATCTCATATGAGACTTATTCGTGTGATTCAGCTCACGAGATCGAAGAACGGATGGAATGTTGCTGCTGTGTACAAGGTAAGTACTTGTATAAATACTGTTTACTTATGTAGTTAGCTCACATGACGGGACAGTATACCATGGTGCTATTGAAAAAAGTATCTAGCCCTGTTTTTTATTGTTTCTTAATGGCGTTAGCGTATGCATTTGAGCATCAGACACCCACGCAAATTCTCGAGCGTAGGGCCGCTAAGTACTCCGAAGTTATATTTAGATACTTGTTTAGTGTCTTCGTTTTATTTACATACGATTGACTTAAGCTTCTTTTTATGTCGCATCGCACGACTAACTAATGAATTCTTGATGCAGGTGAACAATTTAAATACATGTTTATTAATATAAAATTAATAGTAAACAGCTCCTGTTACTGCTATGACATCATTATTACTGTTTTTTTGGTATCTCGGAGGTTATCTCACAGAAACATTTGTATCTTACTGACCCATTTAATTAATGGAATCATTAGCTTCTTGGATTACTTTGTTTTACATGTGAAAACAAAGATCACATACTTAAACATGATTAAAGAATAAATGAAAGTGTAATAATTTATAGATTTATGAATTTAAAGTAAGCTTAGTAAAGCTGGCAGGGCGACTGGCTGCAGCACTATGTGTTGCGGGTACAATTCCTGCATGAAACAACTTTTTGTGTGTCACATTGCTGTTTCGGGTCTGGGTGTTATGTTTATATGAAATCAATATTTGTAAACACACCCACAATACATGAGATAACCCTAGAAAAAAAATGAAGCATAAATATCTTAAAAGAAACAATAACTAAATAACATGTTGTAAATTACAGAACTTTTTATCATATTATACATTAATGTATTTGTATCGGTAGTTCCATCTCCTCCATGTTTTTATTGTGTCGTGCAGGTGGCGGGAATGATGTTGGTGAGGATGAACATGCGGCTGGCGCTGGGCGCGCTCTGTGCTGCCGTGCTTGTGTTCACACTGTTCTGGGGACACTGCGGGGACCTCTCGCGGAGACCCAGTATGTTTTTAATCATTGTTGTAAATTAACCACAAATTCTTTGAAGTAAATTACTAATTTACTCTCCTGTCATTCATTGTCATAAAAGAAAAACTCAATTCTTTCATTGAATAAGTAAAAGCAATAATAAATAATAAATATAATAAGTGAAGAGAAAAATTAAAAATCATTGTTTAAAACTATGTGTTGTCCAGTAGGTTCAGTGCTATCGAACGCACTGTCAGAGCGCGCCACCCCGGACGAGATCGAGTGCACCATCAACGGCGAATACTCCGTCACGTGCCGCCGCGACCGGGAGCACGACGAGGTGTTCGTGCCGTTCTCGCTTGTGCACAAGTACTTCGAGGTAAGAGACAATAAAACATCAATTAAATATCTATAATAATCAAACATATTCATTATCTTTGTGTTAAAACTATCCTGACACAATCTCTATCAAGCTGTTCAAAAAATATGAATTTCAGTGATGCTTGAAACTAGTACAGATATCCTGTAATATACTTAATTCAAAAATTATATTTTAATTAATCCTAATTTTTATTCTTTATCTTATTATTTATCTTCATGTATAGTTAATGTTAGAGCAACGCAACAGGCTGTTTTCACAGTTTTTCATTGTTTTAGCATCCACCTTGGAATCTAATCCCAATTGTTCCATTTTCAAAATTCTCTGTGTATATAACAGTAAATTCTGTTTATTTGCTCGCTTTTAAAACTTCTTCAAAATGCACATATATAAAAAAATACATACATACACTAAAACTCGCATTTATTATTATAACTTCTCCGAAAACGTCGAAGGAAACCTAATCGCATTTAACATGAGGTTCATTAGCCGCCAGTACGGCTACCGGCCTCAGACCTTGCTGATAATAATCCTTATCGATTTACACGTTTCGGGCCTATTGCAGATAAAAATAGAAATTAATAGAACACACCTACCTATGATAGGCCGCCTCTAAAACTATTTACATATTGATTTATAGTATGAGTAGATATGACCAAAAAATTTGTACCAACTCCCACAGCAGAGAAGTGTTAAGAAAGGGATATCAAGTTCCAACCTTATCAAGTCGGCGAATAAACCGAACCATACAAGCTAGGCGTCATGTAATAATAGACTATGTTATTAGGACAACAATCTAATTAAGATTTTGTTATCTAGCAATACGACAATACTATTATATTATTTAAATCACTATACCTCTTTGTGAAATAAAGCGTATTACTATAATAATTTCTTATCATCATCCAGATTTACGGCAAAATAACAACAGCAGATGGTGTAGAGAAATTCGAATGGTCACACAGCTACGGTAAGATCTACCATCCAAAGAAGAAATATGACCCTCGCGGCACATTCACCACTTTTGAGAACTACAACGTGGAAGTCAGGGATCGCGTCAAATGCATCAGTGGCATCGAAGGGGTCCCTGTGAGCACGCAGTGGGAACCACGTGGATTCTACTATCCAACACAAATAGCGCAATTTGGCCTTGCCCACTACAGTAAGCACATTACAGAACCAGAACCAAAAAGAAAAATAATAGATGATGGTGAGAAACATTTAGAAAATTGGATCATTAGTAAGGATGCTTACATGGCGCGAGAGTTTGATACTTCTGTCCAATCAAACGTGTTAAGGTTTTCCACATCAGACCATGCGGCCAGTCAAGTTTGGCTCAAAGTAAATGTGACGCAAGACTTTGTGCTGAGTGTAGATCTGCAGTTGAAGCCCAATTCTTCTATGACCGTAGTGCTGCAGAACAAGGATAAGAAGGAAACTGTGTATCTCCATTACGTTACTAGTACACAGTTGATTTGGGCGCAAGTGAGTAGTTGATATATATTTCTAATAAGAACAGAGTGCTTCCAAATTAACATAATAGTATTAACATGATGTATAGTTTCATCCTCAAATAAAATGTACCTAAGTAACCGCAAGATTAATAACTTATTGTTATATATTTAAAAACACATTTATAGTAATGCGTAATACAGTACCGATATTAAATAATCGATTGTTCTATTGTTAATTGTAATAAACTATAAAGTTTATAGTGGAACTGCTTTGTTTAGGATGACCACATATACTACGGCATAGGACTAGACCAGCAATGGCGCCGTATCACCAGGGACCTGATCATTGACATGCAAAAGGGTTGGGCACTGCAGGACAGGCCTAAGAGAAGGTCGCCTAGGAATAAGTTCAAGGTAAATTATTAAAATATTTATTTTAATTGACAAACATATTTGATAAAACATGTTCACAAAACTGCATTTGATTAGTTATTTAATTAAATAGAGATGTATTTCGTACAGATAACTATAGGAACTTTCCTCAACCTCAGTTATCTCGATCGCATAAAACAGACGTATAACAACGCTTGTACTTATTACACCACTTATTAGCCCAGCAACGCTGGCACTGTATTTTGACGTGCAAGTGAGCTTGCCGGAGGCCCAATCCTCCTCCCTTCCCAATCTCTAAAATCTCTTACCCCCAAACAACCGGCAACGCAACAATTCTAGTGTCGCGGCTGTACATGGGCAGCACATTATAAAATTAGGTAATCCGTGTGCTCATTTGTTGATCTCTTCAATATAAAACTTGAATAAACGAGAACTCTAGACAATAAAAAAAAAAATAGGTAATTTTTTAAATTTGGTTTGTATAATGTTAGATATCGAGTATAATCCTGAGCGGCAGTGGGTCGCTGGACAACGTGACGGTGTCGTGGAGCGAGCACATGTGGCAGTTCTATGCGGCGGCGCGCTGGCTGGTGCGGGCGCAGCGCGCGCGCAGTGGCGGCTGGCCCATACCCGTGCGCAGGCGCATGGCTGCTGGCGTCGCTGAGCTTAAACCTGGCTGGTAATATAAATATTATTATGTCTATGCTTCTCGTTAGGTGAGGTTTCGCAGTGCTTGACGAAAATAAAAACTTCAACTATCTGACTGCCATTAGTCAGTCAAATATCTGATGTTGTTGTTACAAAGAATTGTAGTATGGTTTACTAAATGTATAAAGAAACAATGACGACGTTACCTGTACAACCAACACGCACCTATTGTTTGAATGTTTTTTTTTCACACGTAGGTACCTACGGTAAACGTACCTACTCGGCCCATCGCCAGTCCTTCAATAGCTTTGGTCCAATGTTATCAGCTTTCTTTAATTTTGGTTTCTAGGCATTCTGCAATGAGCCAAGGGCATGCGATCTCCCTGCTATCCCGCGCATACTATGAAAGTGGGGACGCGACATACTTACAGGCGGCAAAGCGCGCGCTGTACCTGCTGGACGTGCCCAGCCACGCCGGCGGAGTCAAGGCCATGTGGATGGACAAATATGTTTGGTGAAACACTGATATTATATTTAATTTTCTGTCAATAACACCTTTAATATTATAGACTATATCATTACCTAGCTGCCCTTGGTTGTAATTGCCACCTCATCTTTACATTTTTCCCCAAAAGAATACATCGAAACAAACATTAAGTTTTTGATTGCCTATAAAAAAAATTGAAGGCTAATCCTCCGCTAGCATTGAACAACACTGTCAGTACACATTTATAACGATTCCTTTCCAACAATTTCAGGTACGAAGAGTACCCAACAAAACCACCTTTGTTCGTTCTCAACGGCTTCATCTACACATTGCTAGGCCTTTACGACCTGCACATCATCGAGGGAGAAAACTCCATCTCTTTGGCAAAGAAAATGTTCGACGATGGTATGACATCCTTAAAGAACTTACTGCCCCTATTCGATACAGGAAGTGGAAGCTTTTACGACCTGCGACATTTTACTTTAGGAGTCAGCCCTAACATTGCCCGTTGGGATTACCACGCGACCCACGTCAACCAGCTTTATCTTCTAGCTGGCCTAGACAACGACCCCATACTCATTAATACGGCGAAACGATGGGAAGGCTACATGCAAGGAAAGAGGGCGGCACACAATTGAGATTAGATCTCAGCAGGCGAAACCTGCGTTGTTATTCTACTCATCTGTTGAGATTCTAACGGTGGGCCACGTTTTCTATCCACATAGAGTGTTTCTATGTAATACTGCTCTTTATCTAGAGTCTTCTAACTAAACTGTTTTTCAGTGAGACAGCGAAAACGTGGCAAAAAAACGTTATTCTAAATAATGTTTTTTGTAGGTAATTCAGGTTTTGATCGAGTTCGGCGTGAGCCGAACGGTTGTTATTGGTCCGGATTCGGTATCGTTCTATAACGGTTTCGTATTCCAAATATGAATTCAAACTCTGTTCGTTCTATGTTTGAACGTACCGAAGTTTGTCGGGGATGCTCGAATAGCGTGATTCGAGTTCGTATTTACGAATTTAGCCGAAGGTATGCCGAAGTTACTTTTCAAATACAGAATTGTAACCGACTGAATGGGTTTTCGGGGATTTGAGCCAAATTGCTCTGGGACTGTCTGACTATAAGGTATACAAGCAAACGCTGGTTAGTTTAAGAGACCGATTCAAATGGGTGTAAATAATGTCAGGAGAAAATAAGAAAAGTATTTTTCTACGACAAATGCATCAAGTTCTAAGTACCTCCGATATAAGAATCTGTAGTAAAATAATGTTTGTAAAGTTGAAGAATATTATAAAAGGATCAACTAGAGCCGTAAGCAATAAACTTGTTTAGAAACATTTCTCTTTATAGCGTGAGTTTATATGAGAATCTAATTTAGCTGAAGGTCGATTATACTACATATCATAAAATAAAAACGCTTTGAAACATTCGTTTTGCGGTAGTAGTACTCAATAGCCGATAGATTGCAATACATAGTTTAGTTGGTCCACTAATTCAGTGCCAATAACGATTTCTATTGAATAAAACATGAATGTCTAAAATTCATACAATAGTTAAACCTTTAAGCAGCCTTCTAAGGTTTATGGCGCCCAAAAACGACAACAGCGCCACCACATGTTTCTTAAGTTACTCCAATATTAATTGCACTGTAATCCTAGTCTCGACAAGTACACCCGAGTATTGAACCCAAAGAGAATTTGTATTTTATATTGTTTTAATAACAATTCGATGAAATTCAAGCATTAACCGTTGAAGACTGATGAAAAAAACAATTTTTTAATATTAAAATAAGAGTACTGATGCAAGTTAAATGTGTCTAGACTATAAATTATCATTATTAGTTGAAACTTGCATTTCTAGGCTGGTTTAAATATTTTAGTTTTTTGTAAAATTGGCTCAAATTGTTTGTGGTATTTATTGTTCCCGCTAAACTTTCAGTTTTCATTGTACTCTCAACTTATCTTCTTGTGATGTGTTGATTTTTCAACCATAAAATAAAATAAGTTTCTAGTAATTAGCTCCAAGTCGAATATCAATAATTTTAAGGATAATTTTTGACTAATTTATGTGCTTTTTTCAATAAGTTATTGTTTTTTTGACATTGATTAATAATTCTAATATTATAGAAAATCATATCAAACGGTATATAAATTGACACAGCTTTTGATGTGTTATGAGAAATAATCTTATTATATTATGACATAGAAATGTTAAAGACATAATGCCAATAATTTTTAATGAATACTGTACTAAAACAAGATTATCTCTTTCCTTTAATGTTACATTACAGTTGTTCTTGTCTCTTTCACACTTAGTGATTGAGACAGCTATATTTTGTCTTACTTATATAGCGCCTTTTTTTTCTAATGATAGTAATTTTCTTGCCATAAAAGAGTTTTTTATAAAATTATTTATTTGTTTCTGACATTTTTATAGATTACTTTGTTACATAAACGCAGATGCGCCTCAAATCTAACATTAATGTTAGCTGAACACTGGAAATTATTGCAAAGAGAGCAAAACATTATTTTTTTCAGTATTATGAGATTTTTTTGCAATCATTACCAGTGTGGATATTGTGTCCAACTTAAAATGTTATTCCAAAAAGGACAAATAACTATGTATAATTCTTATGTTATAAAATGTATAAAGTATATATTGTATATTATGTATTTGTACCTACATATAAACTACATAATTATGTAGAGCATTAGTTTTCGGTATAAGGATCTGGTTTCTATGATTAAACACTGTATACGTAATACGTATTTGTAATCTTGCCGCGATATTCGAAATTTGAATTTCGTGATTTTTTAATCTCTTAAATATTTGTGTTACCAACTACTCCTCTAATTATCACTGTTCTTATTAATCTGTCTGCATACTCGATTTTTTTTAAATTCGCGATAAATACTATTGAACTATTTTTTATGTACCCACACAAATCCTACTTGTATTGAAAATGAAGAAAATAATATGCAAATTGTAACACATCATTACTTCTTTGAAAAAATCCTATGATTGCTGTATATTTAAGTACATATACATTTATTTGTATGTGTTTCATACTTATATGTTTAACTTTCATTCTACTACTTAATAATATCTAAATAATGTTAGATACATATCATATGAATGTATATAATGTCTGAATGTTCGAGTTTCCTTCTTAGAGACAATACTATCTAAAGTAGTTACCCGTTACTGTATATTTCTCATGAATATCTTAGATTACGGCCGGCTGTGAATCTACCTATGCACAAATTTTTACACAATACAAATTAACGTCAATTTGCATAACTAAATTTATATGAAAATGATGCGTTATATTATCTTTGAAATAACTGTTGTAATCTTAAAGTCCCTGTTGCCATGTAATAGGCAATATTGGGCAAGACTTTAATTGGTGGTAGAATGTAATGACGTACTTTTGAAGAAGAAACTTTACTTTTATGAACATGTAGTAATACTAGAGTCAAAGAAAATGCACCATAGTAATGACTGGTATTCCTAAAATTCTCAGGAAAATAAGTTTTATTGTTTAATTTCCTAAATGCTAAACATCATTCTGTTTTTGTTTATGAGTAACACGAGAACGCTTCGTAAAAAATCCAAACTGTTCTATAAAAAAACCACCAACTTTAGCATGATTCCTATATTTTAAAAAGATATGGCCGCTAATTCGAACGGTAGTCACCTTTGAGGTCGATATCAAAGTCATTGGAATCATATATTTGTTTCATCACAAACCATATAAAGGTTGGCATACATAAAAATAACTTGTAGATATATCTCTATGAATTTACGCAATACGTACTTGATAAATGTACTTATACATATGTATATCACTTTTGTGTTTTGGTTGTGATATCCAGTCTTGTGGTTGCCATTTCGTGAAGCTGTTTTTTTATTAAACAGGTCACTAACGATTTATTTAACATTTAGTTAATGTTAACAGCTTTTTACGTAACTTTATAAATTGTGCTTATTGTTATTTGATGTTTACTCTCAATTTCTTTATAACAAACTTGTGGTTTGTGACGTTCAGAGTGTATGTGTTTGACTCCTGTAGTCCTAGTATTCGTTGTCGTCTGATCAAAACTCTTTGTCCTTCAGACTTAACATCCATAATAACATTATAATAGTCATGTGAACTTTTTTTTACAAACATGTATTTATGGTTTCAATTAGGAATATGTAGTGCCCTTACTTATTGTGTATATCCGTATGTCTGCCCAACTTTCAGACAGTGTAGTCGTGAGGTTACGTTTACGTTATTATAAAAATTATGCGTGGTGCTAAAATTTACCCGCTTTGTATATTCGAAAGTCAAAATTAAACATTCCATTTTTAAAAGAGCTTAAAATCTAGTAGATAGTGTAAATAATGTTATTAGATCTATGTTTTTTTATTTAACTTTATTTAACCTACGACAATTATGATTGTTTTAAGGAATGGTGTTACAAGAGTACCTACTCTATTTATTTTAACACAAATCACGATATTTAATTCTAAGTATTATTTATTGAAATAACAAAACAATTTTTATTGTTTAGACATGTTTTACCTGTTAACATTTTAATCCTGTTTGCCTTTTCGTTCCTATAACATAATTATGAGTAGGTAATTGTTATGATATAAAATAACTTATTCTGCATTTGTATCGACATTAGATTGTAGTGAGATAGTGAATGCACTTGTGAATGACAATAAAGCATCTCAAATTATTTTATTTTATTTCATTTGCTTCGATAATTTGTGTAAATGAAGGTCAGCCGACATATAATATGTTGGTATGCAATGATATTATAAGTAATAAGGTGTAGATAGGTTACAAGCGCTCAGAAAGTGATACATTAAAATGTGGCTAATTAGCCACATTTTTTCATATTTGTCTCTTTTTCACTTGCGATTATTGAATCATGCCATCTCACTTTAACGTGTATCATACGCTTTATTCTTGTGTGCATTAGTGTGCCGTTCTTGTCAATCGAATTTTGTTTATGTAACCAATCTACACCTTTTTACTTATAATATCATTGTAGGTATGTATATGTATTATTAATAGATATACAGGCACATCACAGTACACTATACATCATCAGGTGCCAAAAATCAGCATGAATCAGTAGCGTTAGAAGGTTATTTTTTTGATGGGAGAAAATCATCCAATGACTTTTCCATCTAGGGTATGGTGAGGAGGAGTGTCCGAGTCTTACTGACTAAAAACCCCCATGTCTTCTGCTTCTCAAAATTTTTTTACTGATACATACCTAAAACAGTCCTGAGTGCAATAGGCTATAAAACATCACGCTACGATTAAATGGAGCCGAGCAGCGGCTAAAATCGCGCGAGAGTAGCTAGTTTCTACATCAAACTACAGGCGTATACTCTTTCATAAGCCAAAGAATAGTAGTCCTTTTTTCTAAAAATAAATTTCGTGTGTAGGAGGGATGTCAGTATTGCCAAGGTAAGAAATAAAGGTTGCTCTCTTGTTGTGGCTTAATGTGCAAGTAGTCGTGCAAATCCAAAAATAGAGAAAAAAAAGATTGCTCTGTGAAAATTACATTGAGATAGAAAATAAATAGAGGCGCCGTGTTACTATAGAAGTATACATGCTTATACAAATATGAGGGAAATATGAAACAAACTATGAAATATCATTTTTTCTCACTCTTTCTAAGGCAATATTGTATTAGACAAAAGAGACAACAATATTTAAGTTGTTGCTTATTATGGAAACAAATCATTTTGACATTAGCAAAGTTGTAGGTAAGTGCCATGTCCGCCATCTTAAGCGCTCAGAGTACCTGAGTTTCATGGTAGTTGTCCTGTCAAACGGTTGTTTATGTTTTAAATTATTGCGGTTTTTCAGTAAATTACAAAGAACCATTTTTTTAAACTTCAAATATATATAGTGAAACTAAAAAACAATATGCCTGTGTGTTGTATTGTGCAGTGTGGTACAAAAAAGAACGAAAATCAACCTCAATTGTCTTTGTATAGGTTAGTAAACAGTTTTCATCAAATATTACTTAGAATAATCCACATAGATAGAAAAAAATGGCACGGATACTTTAATCTATTGCCAAAGTATATATATTTACTTTTATTTCTGTCTGTGAGACAGTTTTAGTAAAAAATTGTTGTTTACAATAATATGTCAATATGGCATAGTTACGTACCATTTCACAAAAGTATCGATATAATCTCCCATTTAAAATTCAACATATATTATACTAAATAATCTATTTTAACAATGGATGTTTCCGCAGTTTTGTGTAACGCTAAAGTAAGACGTCAGTATTTTGGTATTGGTTTTAGTTACATAAGTAGAAGTTCAAATTATCATGTTTTATAATTATACGGGCGCGATTGACAGAGCGGCGTTGGCGACGATCCCAGTGCGACCACCAAGCGTAATAATAAAAAGTGAGATACATACAATAAGATTGACTTCACTACATATCTATTTTGTGCTAACGTAGTTTCGAAGATATCATCGCTTAATCAGACGCGCCGAAATTGTGCGCGAGCACTTCACAAATACCCACAGGTTTTCCACATATATAAAGATAAACATTTAACAAACACTGTCTTTTTCTATTTCACCATTCCATTTAACGCTGTTCATAAACACAGTCCTATTTTTTTAAAAGACGCTTTACGTAGAATTATATGAATGCAAATTCGACTTGAGAAAATCATTAGCCAATCAAGAGACCAAGTTAACCCCGGGTTCCGGGTTCTAGCTAGGCCGACGGCAAAGTAGGAACAGGAGTTGATTTTAGTCAGTAACGGTCTGTCCCGAAAAAGGCCGGAGATGACATTAGATGATTTCCCATAAAAAAATACCGTTAATCATCTGGCTAATCCCTAAAACTATACCTACGTAGAACTTTTACTCAAATTGTATCGATACTCGTTAAATACTTAGTCGGCACAACCCTAGCAACGGCAGCCATCTTATGCGACATTTTGGATTGTAGGTAGGCACCTTCTTTTCGTAGGTATTTCAAGTCCATATATTTCCTATGTCAATGGAAAATTACGTCACACTCTGCAAAATATTTTTTATCTGTTGTGCGCTCTATTTTTGCGTGATGTATTTTTTCAATTTGATCGACAAAGTTTTGGTTTTATAAGGAAAAGTGTTAAAAAATACTGTGTTTACTAAAAGTGCTTTTGATGAAATGAATGTGTGTTATTGATAAATTGTGTTAAAAATGGGAGAAGACTTGGATAGAATAAAATCTTTGCCTTTGTCATGTCTTCCTATAAGAACTCGCGAACTGTTATCATGCCTGTTGGATACTCCAAAAATCATCCCCACCGATGGACCTGTGAAGCTGCCCAGGTAATTATACGTTTACGAAGTTCTAAGACATCACAGCAGACCGTAACAAGTTCAAAAAACTTATAAAAATCTGCACCTACAACAAACATACAAACATGAATAATTAGTTTCAATTAATTATATTTATATCTTGTAGCATTTGATAATAAAGCTCTAAGATGAGCATTGAATACAACACGATCCATCATCTTAAATTATTTATATCATTAAATATAGCTATCTTTTAAGTACCCCATATTATATTAATATGTGTCTAAATAAAAGCCTGTTTTGAAGCCTCTATTAATATGAGTGAGATTCGTATAGCTGACGAAAAGTATATGTAACATATATTATATTTGAATACACTCTTATGATCCCTCCATAAAGATGTGCTATGAACTACTTAATATCTAGACAGCATAAAACCTTGGAACATCAAATAGCCCAGGAAACAATCATAATCTGTTAACAAAATGTATAAGATTTGTTTGCACACTCAGAATAATATTGATATTTACATACTGGTATAGGATTCCAATTGATAAAGATGACTCACTAGTGAAGTAATAATATTTACTTAGTGCAAATTGACTGAACATCCGTTCACTGCACAGTTATACAGGATTCGGCTTTCACTTGAATTTCGCAAAGAACTGTAAATGTTTTATTGACAATGTAACATAGAAAACTGCTGTACTATATCATAGAAGTGTCAGACACGATTAAAACAACAAATTACATAAAACCTATTTGTTATGCAACTTACAGAGATTGGCGAGGCCTGGCCGACTTGGTCAATGTGTCAGCTGAGAGGGCCGCCTACATCCGTCTGCAACCACAAAAGACTGTCAAAGTTTTGGAAATCTGGCAGAAAGACAATTCAGCTACAGTTGGACATCTTTTGCAGCACTTGGAGCGTTTAGACCGCTTTGATGTCTATGATGATTTATGTGATGATCTCAAAGAAGCAATTAGTAAGGGAGAACTCTTAGATAAGCCACAAGGTAAATAACTTAATATCTAGAACTTAATGTAAGGAAATAAGCTTAATGTGTGCCTCTTAATCTGTGGTGATTGATTAATTACTGCTAAAGTAACTAAGTAATACATTTGACAGATATTGCAGATTACAATGCATATCTCTAATTGTTTATAATTAATTGTGTTTTATCTATGTTTTATGAAGAGCTATGTAGGTAGGATATATTTGTTGAAACATTTTTATTTATAAGGACTTATTTATCTGTATTTGTTAGCCAATGTTGTAAATCACAATATTTTAATATTTCAAATTCCTAAACAGCCATTGGGATTGTTATAATTTTTGCAGTTTAACAGAATAACTGTGATATAGTGAATATCACCTATTTTGACATGATAGTGGGATTATGAAGTGTTGCCTGGACAGCTCATTCATACACATTACACATTAATGAGACCTTGATTATAAAGGAAATATAACCTTATTTTCTTTCAGCCAATGAACAAAATCAAATAGCAATAAATAACAACAATATTAACCACAGTAATACCAGTTCCAATGATGAAGACAGAGAGTTTGATCCAATAACTTATGATGATGGCCCTGATTATGAGCAGCACTATGATGCCTTTGTGCTATATGCCAAGGAAGATCAAAAGTTTGTTGATGAACTGCTATCTAGAATGAGTGCTGAAGGCTTTCAGGTATTTAGAGTCTCAATTCAAATCCATTTGTTTCTAAAGAATCCATTTATGTACTTTTGAAAAGTTGTTATAAAATCAGGACCTTTTTTGAAAGTTGAAAATACCTAGTGCTTATCAGTGACATGCTAAATTAACCCAAAAACCTTGTTATCAAAATTGTTGTTAAACAGTTTATACCTAGAGACTGATATTGTATTGTATCTACATCTGTATCCCCAATGGGGGGCATGATAAAATCTGATAATGTAACTATCCAAAGGAATTAATATTTTCCTTTATAGATACTATAATACCTGAGTCAATATTTTCATACCAATGTGTAGTAAAAAGATAAAATAATTTATATAATGGTATACTTAGAAGAGAGGAAAGATTTAAACATTAATGTTGAGATTAATTTTGAACCTTATCTTGAACTGTGTAAGTGTGTAGTATTGATAATAATTGTTTATATAATTAATACAATTATGTCTCCAAATACTAGGTATAACATTTAATCAACAATGGTATTTTTTTCAATTTCTTGTTCTACAGTACATTTTTACAACTGATAACAGAGCATTTTTGACAATCTTGAACCGTATAGTATATATATACTGAATTTATTAGGAGAAACTAAATTTGGAATATGTCTTTGTAAACATGGGTGTGTGGTTTACGAATCCTGCCCTACATTTAGTTATAGTATTAGCAAAGGTCTAAAGTTTCTGAGAAGTAACATTATAAACTATAACATTTCCAGCTCTGCACCGCAGACCGACTACAGCCGGGTCACGCGACGCCATACGCGCCTATAACGAAACTCATGCTAGAGAGATGCAAAAGAATTATCCTCATCTGCTCGCCAGACTTTCTACTCATTAAGTCCAACAAGTACTACAGTGAATATGCACAAGCTGTCAGCATTGGTAATACATTTATCATAACAGGCATAAATGGCACTTTTCAATCCCAGATTATTATTAGAATATTTAGGTTATTCTGCATAGCAACATTATTAGAAATTTTTTAGAGTTGATAACCTTAATCCTTCTTCTTAATCTTACACCCAATTTTTACGAGTCTCATGTGGTACGGCCGTAATCAAACACCAGCCATGGTTCTAGACTCCGTGGACTTCTTCCAGACTCAGTCTTATATAAAACTCAATAATGCTAGCTCACGGGGTAATTTCCTTCTATGTTTACTTGTTTAGTAGTAGCATTCAACCAACCAAGTTGAACTTCTAATATATAAAATAGACTACAATTATAATGCTTATGTTCGTTTCAGAGTCACACAATCACAAGATAATCCCGATAATGTACCGCGAGTGTATTCTGCCGTCGAACCTGGCGTTCTACCACAGACTACACTACAATCCGAACGAGGAGCGCGCCGTGTTCGACTTCTGGCTGAAACTCAAACAGTCGTTGCAAATAGCGCGAGCCATGCCTAGTAGACCACGCATCACTAACAATAACAAGTAATTATACTCTTAGGTTTATTTTAAACTAGCTTTTAACCGCGGCTTCGCTCCTGTCATTTGACTACCTGCACTACCCAGTTACCTACCTACACTTCTTACCCTACACTATCTGCCTTACCTAGCATACTTTACCTACCCTACTTCCCCTACACTACCTACTCTACTCGATGTTCTTCTCCCAGTTCTTAGCTACGAATTTTCAGCCAAATCGGTTAGCCATTCTTGAGTTATAAATAGTGTAACTAACACGACTACCTTTTATAAATATCGATTCATTATCATTATTAAAATGGAAAACATAAATGTCTATTATACATTTTATTAATATTTTCTAAGCCTAAGACACAGTCACACCTTTTATTCGCTGAGAGGTGCCTGTGGTGTCAGAGTGCCATCTTATGATGTCACATTACTTTTCTAACACAATCATTATTCCCAAGACTATTTTGATTGTGTGATATTGTGTAAAACCAATAGATCCTGACTACTAAGAAAGTGTTATCTAACGTTTTACATCAACCTAAAAACTTAATCATCTCTTGCAGCGTAAGCGTAAGCAGACTGAACGGTACAACCCTACCACAGGTGAACATTGTAGAGCTCCCGCCAAGCAATGTCATCCCGGATTACTCGGATGATCAGCTCTTCCTCCCGAGTCCTCCAACAACCACGAGCCTTTCTATGAGCTCCCTGAACGTTAAGACCGCAGCTGACACCAACTCCTTGAGTAGCATGAGCCAGACAAGTGCGGCCAGTAGGAAAAAGAAGAAGAAATTCGGAATCTTTCGACGTGCTCTCAAATATTTACGACCCTCAAAGTCCGAAGAAGCTATAATGGTTGCCCATTAAAGTACGCTGTATGCACTTAACTGAGTAGCCACAGCCAAGTGTTATTTTTAAATGTCAATTTAAAAGTATACGCTTTGATTTGAAAGTTACAGCCTCTGTTTCATAAGCTTGGTAAGCCTTGCATTGTGATAATTGACTACAGGCTTATAATGCGCATTTTGGAAATAAGACAAAACTATAAAATACAAAAGCATATCGGCATAATACTAGTAACTTTAATAGGTTATAAGTTATATAATATTTAGTTATGTTATTGCGTAGCTTGCTCAAATACGTACCGCTTGTCCCTCACCCACTTGGGGTGTATTTCTCATACCTTATATTGACGTATCTCTCAAAGCATTTTGTTATGAAACTATTCATGTGCTAGTAACAATTACATCATACTTTTTACATTTATTCGCTTGCCTTTCTCATATTGCCTTATCTTCTCAATTTACTACTGTAACTCTGGCTAGAAATAAGCTGTAAGAATAAAATAAATCATTTTATATTAATATAAAAGAGGAACATATTTTTTAAAGTTGTTATTAAATTGAATATTTTTAGATATTCTATTTGATAAAAGAATTATATTAGATATGTATCGTAGTTATATTGATAACTTGTATACGGAGTTGCGGATTATATTACGATATAATTCGAGCGCAGTCGTGCGTCGCGATATGTACACTATGTTTTGAAACAGAGCATTTGTGATATCAAGTCTGTTCGCCTTCATAATTATTTGATTATGTTTAATTATCTATGAAGGACATCTGCTAATCTGGATTTAACAAAATTGTAGTTAAATTCTAATATAAACTTAAATGTTTTAATATAAACGGTGTTGTCGGCATAAAATGCAATTTATTGTTAGGCTTCCTTTAAACGGACCAATATTGTGATTTTATATAAATATACAAGTGTTCACATTTTTGTAAATTTTACTGATGAAATATTTTGTCAAGTTATTTGTAAATATAATTGATATGTTAGTTACAATCGTATTTTATTGCAGCGTCCTCATCATATAATTGTCTGTGCCTTCATCTGATTAATTAATTTATCTTTTAACAAAACTTCAGACATACTTAGGGTGAGTTGCACCATTTAACTTTAACCAAACCATAACCATAGGAAGCCATAAAACGGCCTCCTATTGGTCAGTTCGAAGATTTGACAGCTGATAACGGCTATGTTATCGTTAAAGTTAAATGGTGCAACTCACCCTTAGTTTGAAATTGATAAAACCGTCTATGACTGTAGACTGTGTCTAAATTTAAATAGTTTGTTTGTTATCAGAAAGTTGTAATATATTATTTACAATAACAAATAATCAGTAGCTACCAATAATAATGATTTGGTAAAACGAAAAAGACAAAGTGTAAGATTATTTAAAAAAAAACTTTCATAGATTATTTTTAAGCATTCATGTTTCTTTTAAATCTTTCCATTTAAATTGATATGGATAAATATGAACATAAAATCCATGGTTACACTGGATTTTAAAATCGTATTTTATTTATAACAATATTTCGTATTTATCTACAGGGCGTGACGTCACATCAAGATGACAAGTTTATCTAGTCCGATTCTAGAATACAGATTAACGATTTCGAAGCCAATACTGTTTTATAAGTAAAAAAATAACATTATTTATATTAAAATATATTTTATTTAGAAACTATATTAACACTGTATATTCTAACAAGATGATCGCTTCCGCAGCTCGCTAACAACATTTTATTTCCTTCAGTAGGTTTAAATGTCAATCTTTTTACTGCTAAATGGTGTGCGGCGCTGAAAAATATAAAAAGAAATATGTCAAAAAGCAAAAAAAGTACGACAAAAACTTTGGGCTCGTCCGGGATTTGAACCCGGGACCTCTCGCACCCTAAGCGAAAATCATACCCCTAGACCAACGAGCCGCTTGGCATAATAGTCGAAATTATGACTCTAGTCTTGCAACATGTATGTACATGGTTTCATACAACAAAGTTTATATGAAATAGAGTCCAACAAGGTAATATTTAAAAGATAAACACTAAGGTTTGGGTCTATTGAAAGTATGGATAAAAATATTTCCGTAGTTTACTGAAATTATCAAAAAAGGCCAAGGTGACGACAGGAGTATTAAAACAGGCTTGCTTACCTATTATCAAGTTCTTGCAACAGGAACCAGCCATCGTCAGTGAAGTTGTATATCCTGATGACACCAGTTTCGAAGCCAACAGCTAGTATGAGGCCGGAACCCTCGTGTGGGGCGAAGTCCAAAGCTGTAACTGCTATGTTCACTTCTAGGGCTTTGCCGAGAAGACCATACGCTCCTAAGGAGGTGTTGGTCGGACCCATCTCTGACCAAATGCATACCTGGAACACATTTTTATATGAGTATGATTTGTTTTTTAAGCGAGTTCTGTAGATAATACTTGGTATTTTATGAATTTTCTTTTTAATAAGGTTTTGTACTTTTATACATATAATATATAGTGTCTTTTTAGTCTGTTTACAAACATACATATCACAACCCAGACCCGAAACAAAATTAGTTTTAAGTCCATAAAAAATATTCAGTGCGGCAAATCGAAATGGCAACCAATCAAAAGTTATTTGTGAAACTCGTACTGGGCAGGTGTAATTTATATGTAGGTACTACCAACAATACTTTAAAATCATGTACTGTACCTTTCCTTCCCTAGATCCAGTAGCGAAGGCCTTACTATCCTGCGTCCACGCACAGCACCAAATGATCCTCGTGTGAACAGAATTCGTTTTATCCGTGTTCGCAACTATTTCAAACGAATCTGTTTCTTGTTGCCTTTGGTATAAGGTCCAACGTCGGTCGCGGGATACGGAGAGTAGATACTGACTGTTTGGCGAGAATGCTAGCTGTGTGACGGTCAATTGATGGGAAACTAGTCTTTGTTTCTGTTCCCAGGATGTGGTGTCCCTGTGGACAATGTGATTAGCATTATTATTTTTTTATTTAAGCTTCAGCTTTTGACTTTACATTCGAAAGGTTAATAATGTTAAAATGTGAAGAACGCAAAGTGGTTAAATTAAATTTAAAATTTGCGAAAATAAGAAACCGTATAACAGCTATTTTAGGGTTCAATCTAGGTTCAACATGTCGAATAGAATTCAAGAGGAACAGACGTAGACGAGGGGAGGCGAGGGAAAAAATGCCCATCTTAGGGTAGTAGGGGTATTTTGATGGTATTAAGTAGTCGGCAAACGAGCAGACGGATTACCTGATGATAAGCAATCAGCGCGGCCCATGGACACAACACCACCAAAGCGGTAACGAGTGCGTTGCCCGCTTTTTAGGGAAGGGTATATTGGATATTTAAATCTGGGTAGCGGTGGGAGAGGGGGAGGGTTGAGTTTGTGAAGCCGTAGTATCACTCCGGTCGAGCCGACCAATCCGTGCCGAAGCTTGGCTCTCCCACACATAAATGATATGCAATCTATATAGACGAACGAGCGTACACATCTTCGACTAAAATGACAATTAAAACCTACGCAAACTTACCATAGTAATACTGCGGCATGCTCAGCAGTAGTAGCCTTGCATGCAGAGGCAAGCAGGGTCCCGTCGGGGCTGGCTGCAAGGGAGAACACCTCGTACCCGTGGCCGTACAGCTTCTGCAGCTCCGGCCATAGAGTGTGCTGCATGAGCGTCTCCTCCGTAGGGGGCTCTATCGACATGAGAAGATAAAAACAACCCTTTATCATGTAGGCCAATACGTCCCAGGGATAGACATTTTTATAGATTTAGAATAGTATAATAGTGAAAATATATGCTTGAAATGTCAGGTGTAAGATTCTGTTTCATGTACATATATTGCAAGTTAATAATTATATGTAATATAAGTAATAAACCTAGGATGTGGATGTAACAGATTATATACTTACATTGGTGTCTATACTAATATTATAAAGAGATAGAAAATTGTAAGTTTGTATGTAGGGGGTAATCTTTGGAACTGCTGGTCAGAATGCCAAAATGGTTTCACTGATAGGTAGCTACAATGTCCCTGATTGCTATAGGCTATGAACCATCACGCTACTATCAAATGGAGCCGAGCAGCGGGTGAAACCGCGCGAGAGAAGCTAGTATGCTATATTCTAGCTGCGCTGTACCTAATCATTCTAATTGAATACTTTTTCTGAAAAAACAAAAAAATGTTCTTTATAAATTATAGCTTTTTGTCTATATGAAGTCATCCTATTTGTACGTTAGATATAAAAAAGTAAAGAAAAAAGAAAAGAAAAGTATTTTTTTATTGCCAAAAACATAATATTCAATTTAAACCGTTCCATTATGAAATGTTGACATAATTATGGCAAGACATTGCAACTATTGTAAATATACTTAAATACATATTGTAAATAACTCACCTGTCATATCGACTGGCACGAAGTACCCGTCGTTGTCGTCGTCACCATCGCCTTGCTCTTCATCCCCCATGAATACGGCCTTATTTGACAACCCTAATGACGGCACTGCGGCGCCTTCCGGGCCTAAACGATTATTTAAACATTAATTCTATTTTAATATATGACTGCACGGTTGGTGGCAACTGGCTGCTGAGCAACGTGTCGCAGGCTAGATTTCCGCACGGAACGACTGTTTGTGTGATCCACAAATTTTTGCTGCGGGTCTGGGTGTCATATATGTGGAATTGTATGTTTATAAACAAACCCACGACACAGGAGAAAATCCTTGAATGGGGCAACGTTTTTTTTTTATAAAACAGCGTTGCCCCATTCAAGGATTTTGTTGGTGAGGGAGGACGAGAACCGTCTCCAGTTAGGTTGAGTACCTATTGCAGAATTGCGACCAGAGTCGAAACAGGAGAAGGAACGAGGCGGATTTTAGTCAATAAGAATCTGCCTGAGAGAAGCCATTGGACGATTTTTCCTCCTCAAAAAAGCTAGGTTGAGTACCAATTGGTATACTAATAATTTTAACATGAAAACACAATAATATACATGAATAGACATATAATTTAGGAAATCGGCTTTACAGTACAAAAGCGCGCGAAATCAGTTTTCTCTCTCTGACATCCCCGTCCTAGAGAGGGCGCGCGTTAAAATGGCGTAGGGCTATCAATAGCAGCACAGAATAACTTTGTAATTTGATAAACTTGTAAAGGTAAAAATCAAAGTTACCTACCACCACTATCTCCCTCAATAACTTCTCCAGTAATATTGCGATAGTTCTGCACGAAGTTGTGTGGTGCCTTGAACACTCTGATGATTTTCTCTTCAGCGGCGGATGCGAAGGTCGTGCTGTTGACCAGCGCGAGAGACGAGAGGTCGTAGCCGTGTACTTGAGGACGAGCTATCTCGTGCCATTCGGTGCCTGAGGAGAGGAGAATTATGATAACATTATTATAATCTTGTCAAAAAAATACCAGGAGAAACTGTCCATTTAAATGAAAAACATTGAATTCGGAAGGAATAGAGCAGGAACGTACGTTACTTAATGTCGCCATGTCGGTGTGATGAAATATTTATCAATTAAGAAGCCAAGCGAGCGTCGTGAGCGTCTATGGCCACCCGCTATGGCGGATGGTAACTTGTGATTTTTCATGGAAAAATTTGTAAAATTCGTACCAATTATTCATAATAAAAGTCGGTATATAAAAAATAAATAACAACGTTACCTAGTTCAGTTCTCCAAGGCGCATGCACCCTAGTGGTCTGGTCAGCCGATACACTCATGAGGTACCGTCCCTGGCGCTCCCATTTTACATCCTCCACTGCACTGAAGTGACCTCCACACACCACTGACGGTTGCCATTGTCCTGACTCCTGAAAGAAGAGGTGGATCAGATGAGATATTTACTAAATTTATTGAAATCGGTTCAGTAGTTTAGTCGTGAAAGCATAACAAAGAGACAACTATTTTCATCTACTTAATATTATAAAATCAAGACTAATTAGTTAATAACACATACATTTTAAAGTGAAAAATTGTCATAGGGTTTTCAGATTTTTTTGTCTCTTTTGTTCCTAATACTAACATACCTTACAACACCTCCAAATATGGAAGGACCCATTATATCCATGAGCTAAGAATGAGTTCCCACCAGGTCCAAATTTGCTGCCGTAGAAACCCAACCCATTTCCTCCTACTTCTCCTACTCTTACTCGCTCCACCCATACCCCCTCCCCTTCCCCTTTACTTGGAGACGACTCTGGCTCCCAAATGATGACTGTCTTGTCTAGTGATGAAGACAGGAGTCTGTAGACTGGCTTTTTGCTTGATTCTGAAAATATATTTTTTATCTATATTTATTAATATTAAAAAGCTGAAGATTGGTTTATCTAATGGTAGAAACGCTACAGCGGGATGGAACAGCACTCAAGGAGCTAGTTTATTTTTTATATATTTTATGTTTAGAGAAAGTATAAAATTTGCTACATTTTTTAGTATACCCTAAGCATGAAATTACAATGCAGAACATAGTTTTGTTTTGTGTAGCTTCTACTAGCTATTACCAACCTCCGATGGCAGGTGGTTGCCACTGCACCCCATACACCCAACCCTCATGCCCGGCCAGCACAGCTTCTAACTTCACAGACCAATCTTCTCCATATGCCGGAAACACTTTCTCCTCCACTTTGATACCCTTTGTGAACTGCTGTTTTACATGTTTCTCAATCCGCCAAAGTCGGATGTATGTGTCTTGGGAGGCAGATGCTAGCATGATTGTTGATTTATCTGTTGATATGAATGTGTTAAGAATCAAAACAGATTATATCTTAACTTTTTATTATCTGTATGTGTTTAAAAATAATAAATATGTATTAAATTTTTAATAAACATTTCTTGGATGGCTTAGTATTATTACAGTCATCAATATTAATAACAAAACTCATTGCATAAAACCTAACTCACCTACATCTTGCACATCAAGTCCCCTCACCCAATCTTCATGTCCAGTCAACATGTGAGCTCTGTGGTACTCGTCTCCAACAAACACATGGATCTTGTGGTCATCCAGAGCACAGAACAGGATGGGCTTGTGTGAAGTCAGTAAGATATGGGCATGGAGTGTCAGGCAAAGACCAGAGCTTAAGTTTATTGTTTGCTTGTGTACTGTTACACCTGGAATAAAGAGTTAATGCATACTAAAATATATAATTTTGTTAATGAGAAAAATATACAACTTTATTCCCAAAATTGCAATATGTTGCTCAGTGTTCGGACTATTGGGTTTTACAATGATAAACAAGTAAAAAAATTGGATACTGTTATGTATGGTTTAGTTATGTGGGTGCTTTCTTACTTTGTTGAAATATAAAGTTAAGTATAGTGTAGGTAGACCTAATATTTATGTGACAGTCTTGATTTCGTCATTACATGACAAATGCTACCTAGCGGGTTTTATTTACTCAAACATACATGACATAGACAGTACACAATAGATGCATATTATTATTAATACAACAATATTGTTATTATTTGCAACTGTCTCAATATATGAGAAAATCTAGATGGTATCACATTCTTATTGGAATATATTATAAGAAAAATATTTACCATTTTTCCGTTCCCAGACTCGTACAGTTGAATCAATGGATCCTGTATAAACTAATAGTTCATCTCCATTATAAATTCCATGGATACAAGTGACACCATCCGTATGGCCGGCAAGACTGTTCGTGACTTTCCATACTCCATCTTCTATGGTCCATATGGCAGCAGTCTTATCTGCTGACCCAGAAATCAGCTCAGTGCAGCTTCCATCTGCCTTACGCAGCCATTTTACTGTGTTTACTTGTGATCGATGGTGACTTAATACTTTTAGAGGGTCTTTGCCCCTGAGATTCTGGAATGAAATGAGATAAATATTTAGAAACAGTCATTAAATAAGCTTCTCACAACAATAAATATACTTATGATAAATTTATGATTTCAAAATGAATGTCGAATTGTTAATTTCAACTCTTTAGGTAATACAACTATTACCAATAAAAACATTGTATCTTACCGTGTCGTAAATAACAACAGAATTTGTTGCACCAAAACAAATGACTCCCTGTCCATTCCAGTCAGTTATTTCCGGAGTGCGGTTGCAGGCAACAGATGTATACACTTGTTCCACATTAATTTTCATGTTACCGGTCATATTATTGAATAAAAACAGTACAAAAGCGAGCAAACCTCAATTTTGAGGTTATTATAAACATATGGTTGACATTGACATTTCATTATCTATCTATCTGACTGTTTTTAATGCGTTCGCGATTTTCTTTATATAGGTTGCTTTTACAGTAATCATAATTAAATTTTCACAAATAAATTAACCTGTGCATCATTATTATTAGGAACTCATGTAATAATACAGAATAAATATTTTCTCTTAAATTCCTGACACAAAAGAACACAATTGCGACACATATATGTTATTTTGCTCTGCTGAACGTTTCCCGTACTTTGGCGCCAAAAGGTTCACAATACGACGTCGACTATCGGACTATATATCGGACAGACGAAGTCGAACTAATGGGTTATTATTTGTTTCTCATTTATTTTTAGTCACTTTTCTTGCTTTTGGCCGTTTTGATTAACGTTACATGTTAGAACCTAAACTTATTATATTGAATTTTAAATCTTATGTAGTGAATGAGTGAATAAGATCAGCAATGATGCCTGAAGTAATGATTGGTGGTATACCAGTGACTTTTCCATTTGAACCGTATGAAGTTCAAAAGGTGTATATGGAACGTGTTATTGAAAGCCTGCAGAACAATACCAACGCCTTGCTGGAATCTCCCACTGGTACTGGAAAAACGCTGAGTCTGCTATGCTCTTCTTTAGCCTGGTTATTAGTTAAAAAGGCCCAATTGCAAATGAATGCACAAGTAGGCAATTTTTCAGAGCACAGTAGTTTTAGTGGATCACTGAAAGATTCTTTGAAATCCGGAGCTGGTAAAGCTAAAGACAACACGTCATGGGGAATGCCAAAGATTATATACTCATCAAGAACTCACTCACAATTGACTCAAGCAATGCAGGAATTAAAGCGATCAAGTTACAAGCACGTAAAGGCTACGGTATTGGGGTCTAGAGACCAAATGTGTATTCATCCGGAAGTATCCAAAGAGACAAATAATATGAACAAAGTACACATGTGCCAGTTGAGAGTAAAATCAAGAACTTGCCACTTTTATAATAATGTTGAATCAAAGAAAGATGACAGAGCTGTGAAAGGTGATGAAATATTAGACATAGAAGACTTAGTTACTGTTGGTAAAAAGCTAAAGTGTTGTCCTTACTATTTATCAAAAGAACTAAAACAAGATGCTGACATTATATTCATGCCTTACAATTACATTCTAGATCCAAAATCAAGGAGAGCTAATGGAGTAGAACTTATGAATAATATTATAATATTAGATGAAGCTCATAATGTTGAAAAAATGTGTGAGGAGTCAGCATCTCTACAGATTAGAACAACAGATGTTGCTCTATGTATTGATGAGATAACACATGTCATGCGGTCTTTTGGTGAAACAGCAGCTAATGAGGATCAAATGGATATGACAGTGGACAGCCAGCCCAAAGATTTTACCTGTGATGATTTATGTGTTTTAAAAGAAATGATGCTGGCACTAGAGAAGGCTATTGATGAGATCACTATTGGAAGTGAAGGAAGTACTTACCCTGGTGGTTTTATATTTGAATTGTTATCAAAAGCTGAGATTAGGGATCATAATCAAATGGCAGTCATTACAATGATTGAGAATCTCATACAGTACTTGTCAACAGCAAGTGCTTCACCTTTTCAGCGTAAAGGAGTTGGATTACAAAAGATTGTAGATTTATTAAATGTTGTTTTCAGTGGAACTACACATTCATACAAGGAGAGAGTAAAAATGTGTTATAAAGTTCACATTCAAGTTGAAGATAAAAAGAATAATAAAAAGACTGACAGCTGGGGAGCATTAAAAACAACAAGTTCCAAGTCTGCTGAAAGAGTGTTGAGTTACTGGTGTTTCAGTCCAGGATTTGGTATGAAACAATTAATAGAACAGAATGTAAGGAGTATTATACTAACAAGTGGAACATTAGCACCATTAAAACCTTTAACATCTGAATTAGGCATTCCCATAGGAGTCCAGCTGGAAAACCCTCACATAGTGAAATCAAATCAAATATGTGTTAAAATTATGAGCCAAGGTCCTGATGGTGTTCAACTTAATTCTAATTATCAGAATAGAGACAATCCTAAATATATTTCATCTTTAGGCAGAACAATACTTAGTTTTTGCCGTGTAGTTCCAGATGGACTCTTAGTATTTTTTCCATCATATCCTATAATGACAAAATGTCAAGAAATGTGGCAAAATGAGGGGATTTGGTCTAGCATAAACAATATAAAACCTATATTTGTTGAACCTCAGCGCAAAGACACCTTCAACACTATAATTAATGATTATTACTCTAAAATAAGTGATCCCAGCACTAGAGGTGCATGCTTTATGGCTGTCTGTAGAGGCAAAGTATCTGAAGGTTTAGATTTTGCTGACATGAATGGCAGGGCAGTCATCATCACAGGTTTACCTTTCCCACCACTCAAAGACCCAAGAATCATTTTGAAAAAGAAATACTTAGAGGAACTTAGGACTAAAGATAAACAGTTTTTATCTGGTGATGAATGGTACTCTTTGGAAGCAACAAGAGCTGTGAATCAAGCTATTGGTAGAGTCATCAGGCATCAAAATGATTATGGGGCTATATTACTCTGTGATAGTAGATTTAATAGCCCAAAACTGAAGAGCCAATTATCTGCTTGGTTGAGAGACCACATCAGTGTCTCAAATAAGTTTGGTGAGACTGTTAGTGAAATATGCAGGTTTTTTAAAAACGCTGAAACTACTTTACCACCCCCCAGATTGAAACCTTTGCTTCCAAGTGAATCTAAAATGCAAGACAAAGTTGATTCAGGACCAATTCATGTCAGTGGCGTTTCATTTCCTATTACTAATTCAAGAGTTGTATCAAAAACTTCGAGCAAAAAATCTGTTAGCCAGTATCCTAACTCAAATGAAGTTTATGCAGATTTTTCTATGGATTTTTACAAAAATGCCAAAGCTTCTGCTTATGTCAATGAATTTAAACCAAATACTACAAAGGACCTTTTTAGTGCTATAGATCAAGCGGAATCTCAACAGTCATCATCCTCACAATCCTTGGTTACTATCCACAAAAGAGCTGCAGATGTAGGTGTAGCTAATCAAATAATAAAAAAGAAAAAGTTGAAGATAAAACCCTTTGGTTTTGAAGACAATTTGAATGGTGAGACATCACATACTGAAGTGATTGAAAAGGTGCCTCCCACTTCATTGATTGATTTTGTAAAAGAAATAAAAGTGCTCCTGCAAGCAGATCAATATAAAGAGTTTCAATTATCGATTTCAGCCTATAAGAAAAATGGTGAGTATGAAGTTTTTTTAAAGGTACTTTCTAAATTGTTTGAAAATAAAAAGATGTTTTATTTATTCAAAGGCATGAAAAGGTTTTTAAAAGATGAACACAAGGTAACTTTTCAAGAATATTGTGATAATGTCAAATTAAGTGTATAGTTTTTTCTACAGAACTAAATATTAAAAATCCAGCTGTATATGTATATCAGAAATAAATTAAGATTTTAATTATGCATGTAACTAACTATAATAATTTATGACTTAAATAAATTGTTTTTAATTTTATATGTATTTTATTTCACAATGAAACCAATGTTATTTCTCTATTGTTTATTACCTACATAAAATATACAACTAGAAAACGTTTTTGGGTGCTTCATTGATCTTATTGGCTATTTCCACTGAGTTTATTCTCAAGATAGTTTGAGGTGACCTAACAAAATTTATCCTCATAAATTGCTTCCTCCTCTTCTTTTTAAAATGAGTTCTTGTGTGGGAGAGGCCCTTGGAAATTACTGTGGCTGTCACATCAACTAGTCCAGGTTGTACTAAAGGCCTTCCAATGAGAGAGAAGTCCTTTGTTCCAGCTAACAAGACTTTATCCAATCTGATTTTGTCACCAATACTAGGTGGCCAAAATCCTTCGACGACGAGAAGGTCTCCGTCGGTAACACGCCACTGTTTACCCAACAAATGGACAATAGCAAAGTTTCTCGAGGCATTTTTTTCAATTAGGTTATTGCATTCTGCTATCACATCCTTTGTCGTTTCTGGGACTGTTTTATACTCCACTGGAGAAAGGTTTGTCACAAATCTTGATAATATACCAGCTGTAAGTAAAATATTTTTTATGTAACTGAAGTAAGTTTAAAGTTACGTTTGAATTAAAAACTATTAATTGAATTTTTACCTTGTCCACCATGGAATACTTTAGCTAGTCCCTGCAAGCCTGCTCTTATTAGAGCCATTTTTGTAATTTAGTTCTATTTTATATTTTTTTGAGATAGGTTTGTTTTTGTGGACCTCGAAACATTACCCAAAGAGTATGTAACCACTACGTTTACATTACCCACTCCCATATAACCTCAATTTGTACCACAGACAGACCACAGATAAAATATTAAATAATTGAAAGTAGGCATCTGTCATGACTTTGATATTTACGTTCAGAAACTTAGAAACTAAAGATTTGAATGTTTTTATAGTTATTTTTCTGTAATATTCAAGAAGATAATAAGTATAAGTTGAAATAAAACTATTGGAATATTTGTACTATTATGACGATTGTGACCAACACGAAATAAAAAATAACAAGTTTCACATAAGTAATCACAAGTAGTCGTGGTTCATTTGTGAACTTTCACAATTTATTGTATACTTAAAATTTTTTATACCTACATAAGTATAATTTTTTTTCACGGTATCTTTAATTCGCGCCAACTACTTGATTTCTCTGTAGGTACAACCGTATGGTTGACTGTTCAGTTAGAGAAAGACAAAGAGAACATAAGCACTACGTTCAGAGAATGCCTCACATGAACTCATGAAGTCCGCCATCTGACTGGTTTGCGTGAAGAAGAATAAATAAATTTAAAAATGTCGAATTTTTATTTTCATATTAACTTTCTAAGACCATTCTTCGATATAATTTTTATTTTCAAGAATGTGACCTAACCTTGTAAATAAATGCGCCTTTGTATTCATTTTACTGTGGTGGTGTTAATTCTCCCAGCAAAACGGAGATGGCGCTGTAAAACACTTTAAATAAATAATATATTTTTATTATAAAAAATCTATCACGTTGGTCGAGTGGTTGCGTGCAGGACCGGCCTCTAGGTAATGCAATACCCGGGGTTTTTTTTTTGGGAATGTATTTAGGTGATTTTGAGAAGTAATTGTTGATAAAAGTTTATCCTGATTGAAGAATTGGTTGCTCGTGTGACTAAGTAAGGTTTAGGGATCTGTCTCTCTCATTTGGGCAAAGTTTTAAAATATAGTTTACTTTATTTTTGATTGAGGAAAATCTCCCTAAAGTAGTACCTACTGCGTTCGGAATTTTGCTATAGCAACGGGGAAAATTATGCACAGAGCTGAATGTGTGTTATTGTACATTGTGATGTGCTTCGAAGGAGAAAGTATATGATTATAATTATTGGTCACGATATGCTTAAAAGGAGATTTGAAAACATAGATAAGGTAATAATTATATTTCTGATCTAATTGTCTTTGACGCGTTGCTGGTATTCTACTGCCAAAGAGGATGGAATCTGATCAGCGTCGGATAAAATGTTGTTATCATTATTCGAAAACTCGGTAATAAGTAGCTTGGAGTCCAGAATCTATAACAGTGGGTTTTACCTCCGTGATTTGACAAACAGGGATCCTTCGATAAAATTAAGTATTTTTTTATGGGTAAACGTAAGTCGGCAAACGAGCAGACGGATTACCTGATGGTAAGCAAGCAGCGTCGCAAATAGACACCCGCAACAACAGAGGAGTTACGGGTGCGTTGCCGACCTTTTGGGGATTAGGTATTTGGAGATCTAGGGATTGGCGGAGGTAAAGGATTGAGCCTCCGGTAACCTCACTAAGTTTCTAATGTTATTTCTACTGTTTTTATGAACACAGGTTACAGGTTTTCTCTTGTGTTGTGGCCGTGGTATACAATTTAACCCCAATCCGGAACAGCTATTACTAGTCCTAAAAAAAAAAACAGTTACCGAACCCTCAACAAATTGCATATCTGTTGGTTACCTAATTATTTCGCCAATCGTGCAGTCAAACTTGTACGTAAACAATCACAGCCGATTACTGCTTAGTTTGCTGGAGCGGCGGTAGATGAGGTTGGCGAGAAAGGGACTCATTTTTTAATCCTAGATTTTATATAATATATATTTTTCAAAGTCACCGTAGTTGCCATTGATTTTCAGCAATCAGCAGAATTATGAAATTATAGCATTTCGTGTATACGCGTACATGCGAGGAGCGCGAAAGTGTATTGAAGCTGTCAGAACAAAGTTTGCGGTAATGCGCTCAATGACATCCGCGGCTTAGGTTCATCCCTCAGCAAAACATTTTATTTATTATTCGAGTTCCAGTCTCTCCTCAGCCGTCCTCTGATGGATTACACTAAAGTCTCAGTAAATTCACGTCGGCTCCGGTCCACGTTCAAAAACCCAGCTCTATTCGTATGTCAGTTACTTGATACATCAGCTCTACTTTCGGAACGTTCCGCCCTGCCTCGGGAGGCTTCGGCAGCGTCTGGGGCGCGTTGTCATGGCAACGGGCGGGCACGCGGCGCTCTCGGCATAGCGGCCGCAGCCGAAAATAAACACGAGAGCGACGCCTCGCGGACTTGTTGTGGAGCAAGGGGACACGCCACTAGGGCGCTACGGGGGTGTGCGTCCGCTGACGTATGTAATTATCGTTTCAGGTTTCACCGGAGACGTATTGGATTATTCCGATGGGCTTTTATTTTTAGTTCTTTACTGTTATGTAGGTATATTTTTGCTTTTAGAATATGAGAAACTGATTTCGAACAGATTATTAGATAACTTAAAAGCTCTTAGAGCTGGCTTGCGGAAAGAGGTATTAAAGTACGGACCGGGGAATTGTTTGCTTTACATCGACAGAATCAGTTAGGAACGAGTTCTAACGCGGGATTTTCCAAGAAGCGTACAAAGTTGCCGGGGAAGGCTCGCCCGCTCCCGCACGGCAGCGCTCTCGGCCTGGGGCGGGGGTGTGCGAGGCTCGGGCGGCGTGGCTCGGCCGGTGCGCGCGCACGGTTCCCGCGTCAGTCGCTGGGCGGCGCGCGGCCGGCTCGCGGTCGATAGCTGCACGCTGGCACGGGCACGGCCATGTTGCGCGACGCGTGCACGCGCGAGCGGCCTCGACGCGCTGCCGTGTGAGTGAAGTGTTGTGGTGTGGACACCGGCCCCTTCTCCCCGCGCCGCCACGCGCGGCGCTGCCGCCTCGAGCTTTCGGTCAGTATCAGAGACCAGTGATAGTGTGCTTCTTCTCTGACCTGCTGTCCGGCGCCGGCCCGGCAGACTCCAGCATCACCTGCGGCAGGTGCGCCAGGCATGCGCTGCTGACACTTCATTGACAACAGATCGTCTGCGATGCGATTCGATTCGTGAATATTTACAGGTGAATGCGCGTGACGTTTAGGTTCGGTGTACACACGTCCTCAATTTGAGCTGGGTTCCGTCGCCACATAACTCAAGCATACATAATACAGTCACAGATAGAAATGTTAGGTTAGAACGGTGGGTAGTGATTTCGCGCGAAGGAATCCAATATAGTGAAGTGGTATAATATAAAGGTGTAGGGCAAAATGTGTGCTCCCGAATGTAAAGCAAACAGTTTCTAATTAATTTCGAGGTATCATCTTGAATTAAAGCCGATATTGATAAAGTTTGGCGGCACCTAGAAGCGTCATTGAGCTTATTGAGGCAAATATCTTCATTTACATTCATACATATTATGGTTATGAACGTGTACAGTAAGAATGTAGCTTCGAAGCATTTTGTAGCAGCTCGTAGCAAGTCGTAGCGCGTAGCACTACAGACAACTATGTGTGTAATAAAAGCTCACGTTAACAGAAACGGCATTTGTTAACTATTCGATAAGACTATGAAATGCGTTCCAACAGTCACGTGTTCATATGTATTGAGTTAATTCTAAGCCGCGAAATCTTGGTATGTAATTATAGTTCGTTCCATAATTAGAGACAACGATTTGACATTTCGAGTGTTGCAAGTTTTTTCCATTTCATAAATAGTGAAGTCCCGCGACCGGTATTGACCGAAAGACCGAAATTAAATTCTGGACTTCGTGCATTTTAAAAGCTTTATTATTTTTAGCTACTTTCCGTGGTACCTTCTTGTGCCCATACTAACTCAGTCGGGTTAAAATCACAATGGAAAGGAGGCAAAAGTAAAATAGTGACCCCCCTTTTAGCAGCCATCAGTCCACGACGTATCATTCATAATTACTCTTCTATTTCCGGGAAATGTCCAACAGCTCGGCTTTCAGCATAGGTTCCTCAAATATAATGTTTTTCTTTTAGCCAAACTTGGATTTGGCATTTTTATTTTAAATTATTATTATTAATACCACTAAACTATAAAAACATCACCGCAACGTTGTTTTATTTTGCTCAGGGTATATTATAAAAAAACGGTATCGGTATTTTATTTAAAAGATCGTACTCGAGCCCATCACTATGTTAAAAAATCTGGCCACATTATTTTGTAGTTTGACATTTGCTGTTGTCAAATTGTTGTCTCTAATTATGGAACGAACTATAGGTAAGAACACGTGTTTTTGGTTCTGAGACAATCTGAATATTAGGTTAAGCTAAAGGCACTATCAGACCATAATAATATTTTGTACGTTATAAATGTAATTATTGGTTCGAGTTTTTTTATTTACCTAGTAGTGTAATTTCAGGTAAGTATGCCAAATCATACTAATACAAGAAACAAATTGAGTATGGCCCAGTTTACGGATGACGAGAAGAGAATTATAAATTCATTATCCATTTTAGTCATGGCGATCTATCGGGCCTTCAATAATGGACGGGGGATGGGTTTGTTCAATATTTGATATATTTCATTCTCTGACATGTTACTGGTGACGAAACATGGATGTTTGTTGATGTTGTCTATGAAAATAGATAAGGACATATGTAATCTATAGCATTTGGGTGTAAAATCTTCTTGCAGGGAACATTTTACTGGTCAGTTAATGCTTTAGTTTCTGTTTGATTATACTTAGGGCATGTATTCATACCTAATATGTACCAGAAACATGAAAATATAGGATGTTATTTGTATTAATATCTGCTACAAAAGTTTATCGACTAATTTTATGAAGGTGGTCAAACAATCCTATTCGATGACAGATAATTATCTAAAATCCAAAAAAACTATGGATAATCTTACTGCTACGAAAGTTACAATAAATATTGTATTTCGACGTTTAAAATAAGCAGTTTGGAATATGCAATTGATGTTTAAAGCTTAAATTACAGCACGAGTATGTCTGTACAGAGGGTATTCAATCGTAGAAGAATAATAAACGAAGTTAGTT